TATAGGAAAATTATTGTGACCCCGGGAGGATAAAATCGAATGTGTAGATTAGAAAGATGTTTACCAAGGGGAAAAAGTAAATTTTGAAAAAAAAAAAAACCAAGCTCAGAGAACCCCAAGGACTCCACAGTTCAACCCTGAGCTATACATATTCTAGTTGCTAAGAAATGTAAACTATACTTTACATTTGAGATTGAAGTTGATAAACACTGTCCTAGTCTTTGGTGAAAATACTAACTGAACTATTTTCTCCCCCTCTGGATCTGCTGTTCAGGCTCCTTGCAAACTGTTCCTCTGCCTTTAACCTCTGAACCCTTCTGAGAAGTCACAGCCACCTATATCTCATGGCCCAGCAAGACTAAGGCAATTTCCCACCTCCCCAAAACAACCAATGGCTTTTGGCCTCATTTGGCAAACCCTGAATGTTAATTCAGTAGTCCTGGGGGCTATGTCTAATGAGCATACTCAAAACATTGAGAGCACGTCATGCACAAAGTGGTGAAGGTTTTCCTATTTACAGCATAAATGTGGAGTGCCTCGCCGGTCATGAAAGATGCTTTGTAGAAGACTAGCCAGTGAAGTTGCTTTCTTCTCAAATGTCCAAAGGACAGGATTTTGATTGTGACCATCAACTGGACTCTTTGCCCCTTCCCCATGGATACCCCTGGATCTCGATAACAGAAATATAAGTATCAGCATGTTCCAGGGAGCTTCACAGAAACACAGCCCATCCCCTGGTGTTTGGCAGCCACAAACATTGGTTTTATTGATCTGTCGGTGGTGCCTTGAAAAGCTGGGAAATCATCAGCCACCTCTCTTCCTTGATCTTTCAGGAAATGTCAGATGTTAAAAGCATTCTGCAGACAGGATCTAAAAATAGCAGTTTGAGCTGAGCAAAGCAGCTCGGTTTCTAAACTGTCTTGTCACTCACTCATTGTTTTCTTGTTTGGGTCCTAAACAACAGCGTGAACATGGTTTACTTTTACTGTCCTATGGCATTCAACAAAACTACAGCCTGTTAAATTAAAGCTGGAAACTAGTTGGACAGTCTAAGGTCTGGTGGTAGATTTCTCAAAGAAACAACTTAGCTGGTTGAAGAGACAGCTCCACGCAGGGTCACTAAGGAATTAAGGGACGGGCCTTGCATCATGATGCTCTGTCCACCCTCTTGATGATTTTGATACTCTTCCGCCTTTGCATACATCTATATTTCTGGAAATCTTGAATTACTACCTCTTTATTCATTTTATTTATCTCCCACCTTTCTTTCTGAAGTTCGGAATGGCTTATTTCTTTTAAGTTTGTTCCTACATTCATCCTGAGAACTTGATGGGGCTATTTTGGTTCTTCAGGGAGCAGATGTTGAGGAGTGAAGAGTTTTCACAGCCCTTCAAGAACTCTACAAGAGAGGTTCTCTGAGAGACTGCTTGACCCCAAGTCAACTGGTGCGCTGTTTATGGCTGAGGATGAACTTGAACCTGGATCTCCCCACTCCTAGTCTAACACCCTAATCACAATGCTGCATTGGCTTCTGATACCAATTTACACGTGTGGATTGGGCCCACTGGGGTGTATAAATAACATCCACATTTGGAGACCGAACTTTATTTTTCATGCAATTGTGGCTATTTGCTGTGTAGAATAATACCACAAAAACTGAACAGTTTGCCATTTTCTCCCTTCCTCTATTAAAAATTTGTGTTAATGAAGGATTTGTCGAATCTGTATCAAGAGGTGACTCTGGGTAACAGAGTAGCAGTGCTTATGCGCAATCTATGAATGATGGTCTAAGAGATTGGCCAAGAGTTGATGCTACAGGTAAAAAAAATCCTCTGGGTATAATTGTGACTTTGTTGTGATTTATTCAGACATAGGCTTTAGTATGTCTTAACCTCAACCTTACTGTAACAGGAGAATAATCCTAGCTACCTTGCATCATTTTCATAAGGTTATGTAACAGATGCTACCTAAAAGCAATATATTTAGAGGCATATTCCATAGTTAATAGGTATTCAGAGATCAGTTGTTGGAGCTGGTTTGTGCTGAGAACTCAAATGTATCTTCCAGGCCTCTAGATCTTTTATCTTCAACTTCAACTTCAACTCCCAGAATTCCCCAGCCAGCTTGCTAAAGTCCACACATCTTGAAGTGGCTGAGATTGAGAAAGACTGCTTTATTATCAGTCCTCCCTGATCTGGGACGTTCTAGAATTTCAACTCCTGCAATTACAAGCCATCAGGGCCTTACTGGACAAACACCAAGAGCAGAATGCTAAGATTTGGGTAAAGTATTACACATTAAGGGCTATGTGAATAAGAGACTCCACCTGAGATACTCAGACTACAGGTCCTGGGGAAAGCCCTATGATTGTAACATGGAAGTGGGCTTAGATCTTTCTAGTATTTATGGATTTTCCTAATCTAGGAGTAAAATAACCTGAAGTCTCAGAGCTGCAACCAGCGATTAGAAATCTTGACTGTGATGCTACCCAGTTTCTGCTAAACCTTCATTTTTAATGCAACAGATGGGGAAGATGATTAAATATGTAGAGAGTAACTGTTAATTGTGTTCGATTGCTTTAGTTACAATTTAATTACGTTTATATTTTAATGAAATGGCACCAGATTCTTTTAGCCCCGCCAACCTGTTTGTCTTCATCTGTAAAGAGGACGCTCCTCAACCTGATTCAGGCCATGTGAAAAGCAGCCAGTTTGTAAGGCATTTTCAGCATTCCATGCCTTTTGCCCTTTGTTATTAGCCCAAATTGTGCATCTTTGATTCCTTCCATTTATCTTTCCTCTTGTGATCACTCGATCTCTGGCAGGGCATTCAGATAATCCCAGCCTTCGCCTGGGTCCATTTTCCTTCTTGTCCTTTTAAAAGGAACCCGAGCAGGATGATGTGGAAAATGTCAGTGTGAGCCAAGATCTAATTCTGGCGGAGGGGCAAACAATCTAATCTGATCTATCTGGTTTTTTGTTTTTTTGTTTTGTAGAGGAGAGTAGCGGAAAAGCACCAGAAAACAGCATTTAGACAGCAGAGGGCACTGTCTGACTTTCAAGTAAATTGGCTTCTGCATTGCCTGTGTACTAGTAGGCCATGCCAACGTTGATTAGGACTGGGTAAAGGCAGAAATCAATTACTGCTTTATCAGCAAAAGAATATATTTAGCAAAACCAGCAGTTGCTGCTTGATGTATACAAGAGGATGGACAAATACTTAGTAACCCAAAGGGACCTATATTAGTCTGAGCCATTCAAATGGCCCCATGCTCATTTCTGCATTAGACTGAAAACCATGAAGAGTGAATCCAGGGAAGGAGAGTTCTAAGTGGTTAGACTTTTTAAAACTTTGCACTGCATGGAGCTAAACAACAAGTCCTTCAGTGAACCATGGGTGGACACTTTCAGCAAAGTATGGAATGAATTTATCAATTTTGGCTTCTCTCAACATTTCATTACTTGGATAACATTTTGGCAGTACTTACTCCCATGACTGTCTTGACCCTGGAGTCCTTCTACCCTGTAGACTTTAACGAGGGACATCGTTTTTGGGACACCGAGCAGGATATCCTTGCAAGACAGTTTGGGTTTATTCAGCTTCAGCTCCCTGAAATATCAAAGTGAAATAGGTATGTTGGTTCCAGAGAAAGATTAGTAGATACATATCTTCCACACAGAATACTGAACTTTATGGCTTAGTTCATACAACATGTTCAAGCCAAGGATTAGCCATGATTGTTAAATAAAGCATAGTTAATATGTGCTGGACTAAAAATAAAACTTGCTAAATCATGCACAATAATGGTGGTTTTATTTTAGTTCAGTGTGTTGAGTCACTCCAGATATTGTCTGTTAGCCATTAGAGAGCTATTGATGATGATAAAAATTGGAACCGATCTCTTGTATGGATGATTAATTTCAATGCATTTCAAACAATGTTTCTCATTCCATGGTATCACCTAGCTGTATACCTAATACCACTGATTATTTCACAATGTGGAGAAGTGCCCCAAAAGGCAAAAATAAATGAAAACTGGGGGAAGATCATGAACACTGTTTTCATCACACACACACGAAATGCAGTCACCACCTAAGCGTCTGAAGCATTCATCTTGTTCCCCATAGATATTCCATGAATATCTCATTTCCTTCATGCATTGTGTCAGCTTTCCTTTATCAAATACTTGACAGTTTCAGCTAGGGCTAGAAAAAGTGGGGAAGAGAAACCAAAACGTCCTACTGCCAGTAGAAGTAGTACCTGAGTGCTGATGGAACATCTGTGAAGAGCCTCAGGATAAATTCCCCTTCAATGTTTGGGGTGAAGGTGGTTGGGATCAACAGGTATCGGCCTTGCTTGAGAAGCATCTTCAGATACACTATGCGATTGCTAATGTAGTTGACGTTAGTTATCCTCTCTTGTATTTTCAGTTGGTGCAAGCGATATTCTCGGTTATCCTCTACCTAAGGTGGGAAGACAGATATAGGTATGACATGTATTCACAGCATGCTTGGCTTGTCAAAGGCTATTTTCATATGCTGGGCTCCAATAATTAAGCTGAACTGCACTCAAGAACTGCTGTTCAGGGCATATATGTGAAAACAATCTTACAGGTAGTCCTTGCTTAACTACGGTAATTGGGACTGGCACTTTATGACCACGTGGTCATAAAGTGGAAACTCACGTGACCGCACTGACTTATGATGGCAGTTCTGGTTGCTCTTAAGCAAATCCCAGACAGTCATAAAGCACATGACTGTGACTTGCAACTTCCTGCCATCTTCTCATTTGATTTTGCTTGTCGGAAGCTGGCACTGAAGGTCGCAAAGGGTGATCGTAGGATCACAAGGCTCTGTAACCATTGTAATTGGGCACTGGTCACCAAGTGCCCAAATCACAATCATGTGACTGCAGGGACACTGTGACGGCTGGAACTTTGAGGACCCGTTGTAAGTTCCATTTGTTCAGCATGTTGTAACTTTGGTTGCTGAACAAGTAGTTGTTAAGTGAGGAAGATAGGATCTTACGGCTGTATCTGCCACATGAGCAAAAAATACAAGATGTGTTATATTTTTAAGGGCAATTGTCTTGAGTGCAGGTGGACAGAGACCTACCTTGAAGATTTCAAAGCCAATAACAAGGTTATATCCTGCCCCTTCTTTCTTGTGAATACGTTGGTCCTTCTGCTGTAGCGAGATCAACGCTGTGTCCTCTACCTTCTTAACATCAAAGATGTACTGAAAAAAAGAGGAATAGACCAAGCTGCTATGAGTATGGTCTATGAGTCTGTGAAAATAGACTTCATCAACAGTTGGGAAGCAACTGTTAGTAAGACCTTGTGCAGGATGATAGTTCTGAGAAAAAATTGACATATTAGACCTTTCCAATGCAATATATTTGTATAGGGCAACCTTACACAGCAATTAATGCAACTTTTCCCAACTGGGTGCAATCCAGATGTGTTGAAGATCAATGTCATAATCTCCCAACTTGTAGGCTCTTTGGATGTTGAAGGAAAATGCTAAACTTGGGAAGGCTGAGTTTTCCAAGAAAACCCGGAAGCATGCCTTATGGCCATTCATTTAGTAAGTAAAACATTTGCCTAAGACTGTGTTAGGCTTCTAAGCATGATGAAAAGTTGCATGGCTGATATACAGTGTCTTTGGCTGATATACAGTGTCTTTGCCTAATATGCTTAGCAATCTAGTTTGCAAAAATCTTATTTTAAGGTGATACATGTCTCTGATGACAACCTCCTGGAGACTAATTCTGAGTCATGGGAGCCCTTATCAGCCTTATTGATGGAACCTCTGAAGATATCTGATTGGCCAATGTCAGAAGATGGAACACCAAAAAAAAATGTAAGTAACCTAGCTCCAGGGTTGTTGTGGAGATAAATGTAGTGGATGAATGGGAGATGGATCGAAAGTTAAACCTGTAGGACAGAGCTCAAGGATTACTTTTCTATGCCAGTTTTATTCTTCCTAAACTCTAAGGAACTGAACTGATACTGTTTATCCTGGGATAGCTGCAGGGATAAAAATGATGTGTGCCTACTTTCAGATCAGGATGATTGGCTGTGGAATCTGATCTTTGGAACTTTGATTTTAAAATGTTCTCATGGAATTTAATTAGACACCAGAAGTTTAATTTCTCCAAATGTCACAATGCAGTTCATTGCAGCAAAAAAAAAAAAAAAAAACGCACTGAAATTGTTTTAGAAATGTGTACAGCATCTGGAGAGAGAATAGGTCTACAGATGTAACTTTGGATATGTAGTTAAGTGCAGTTTTTAGGCAGAATGTTTAAACTTCATAATGCAGTGTTGTCCAAACTTGGCCACTTTAAGATGAGTGGACTTCAACTCCCAGAATTCCCCAGCCAGCATGCTG